CTTGTGATCAATCGAGGTCAGAGTACTAGCGAAGGTGTTTGATATACTGGGATGTTGGACAAATTTATGCGATGTCTTTTCTCACTAGAATGCGAAAACCAGAAATTTTAGTTTTTCGTTTATAGTATGAAGAATATCATATATTGAGTGAAAACCTCCATTTAAAAGGTACAAACTTATCCATCACTTCTACTAAATTGAAAGTGATTGAAATTGAAAAAGTGGGAGGCCAAAAAAAACACAGACATTGGTTCTTGAGATGCGAGAATTCAAAATATAAAGCTACCTTGTGGGCTGATTATGTTGATCAAGAAAATCATATCATTTTACATGGCGAAGTTCTTTTCGTACAAAAGAACAAAATTATTCAAATACTTTTTCGGGGAATATGATGATGATCCTTTTGTCGTATACTTCATTTTACGGTAAGGGTCTATTGCGCTATACGGATATGATTTTTTTTACCAGCACTTGAATGTTCGATCCACACTAAATATAAGAATATATTGTAGAGTTTGAATTTGAACATATCAGTCCCAACATAGAAATTATTCGACCCACATTAAAAATGCCTCAAAAATCTCATGTCATTCCAACATTTCCTAATCTATATTATATGCGATCTAGCTTTTTTTATGAGACTATAAATGGAATGGGAATGGAGGATGAAGGGTTGGTTTATAAATTATTCAATTCAGTGAGCGGTTACGTGAGAGCAAATGCTTGAGAACGCCGCCTAAATTAAGTTAGTCTAACTTGTTCCTACATTCCAAAATGGTTGCAATATCTATCAGGCTGTACAATAAGTTTTGAAGTTGACTATTTTCAAACTATTCTCATTATTGAGCATATATAATTATTGATCAATAATATATTGGTCGTTGTTATTCATAATCATCTGAAGTGTACTGGCAAAGCCTGAGCTTTTCTAGCTAGCGGGAAGCCGTGTGCTTTTTTTACAACTCACTAGCAATCTTTACAGTGCTCTACTTCTTACGCCATCTTGAGCACTTGCTGCTTGAGTGGATGTTCTCCTCTAATACTTGGTGTATTTATGAGCGGCAGTGACTGAAATTTAAAATGGGATCTTTAGAAATTGATTAAAGTCAAAGCATTTCTACTTTACATTATAGAAAGCCGCTGTCAGCTCAAATGAGGCGAAATGAAGTACCCCTGTCAAACAAGGTCGTCCGAAAATTGATTATATTCATGCTATATATTTATTATTTGTACACTCCGTCAACTAGCCTTTCAAGGACATATTTCTAAAAATTGCCTTCAGTTTAGCATACTCTAAATTGCTAGAAGCTAGCGACGCAGGGATAAACTGCGCATGTACCTAAACCTCAACTGTTATCAGAGCTCGAAATTCCTACATATAGTTAGAAAATAAAGGTTTTTTTTTTCAGTGTTACAATACAAGTCATTCAAATAATATTGGGGATCTGCCCAATATACTTCACTGCTTAAAAATAATAGCGATCAAACATTATTATAGGATGGTAGTACATCAAATATTAATGAACCCGAATTAGCATTGAGACATCGAACAACAAACGTCCACATATTCAGGGATACGTGAGGGTATGTGTGATACTAAGATATGGATATTTACACCAGCAACTCTGCCCATAGTTGATAGGAACGTGATTGATTTATGTGCAGTCATCACATTGGGAAAGAGAGTTTGAGATTCTTTCGCATTGCAATTTCGTTGAGTACCTAAACATCTTGGAATACAATTGAGATTTGACAGTAGGATAAATATTAGGGCATGCTATTAAGGGAAACTTGCCTCGTTCACCGTCCTTTTGCTTGTTTCGGGACAAAGCGCCCACATTATCACCAGAAATACCGCAGAAGGAATAAGGAACATCAAAAGAGATTGCGCGCCAATCTAGATAAGCCTAAGATTAGCAGCAGTGTGAGTTTTGAAATATAATGGCTTACAATGTTGGCTATAGGGTACCAAGCAAATTCTACAGCAATTTTAGTCAAAGCTTCAAACATCGTAAGGATTGAGACAGAAGAAATGAGCAGGTTTCTTGGCACAATTTCGGCAGCATAGAACCTCGAAACTGAACCGATGCCACAAGCTGTTATAAGGAGGAGCAGCGAGAGTCCAATAAGAGTTGCTAACTGTAAAATTACGTATGTAGCATTGAGCAAGAAACAGAATGCGAATTAATCCAACCTTAAATTGCGGTCCAAAGTTGATGGCAACAATCATGATGAATAGTGAAAGCATTGAGATGGCCGTTGATGAGATTATCAACGGTCGTCGCCCAAGCCGATCCACCAGGAGTACCGGAATAAGAGTGAAAGGAAGTCGTAGAAGACCTAAACGGAGGCGCTAACACAACGCTTTTTTTAGGTTTGTGTGTTGAATTTATAACTTTTTCTTATAATGACGGGAGCCTTATTACATGTGAAAACACTCACTGAGTAATAAAATGTGGATGCAGCAAAAAAATAACAACACTGCATTCAAAAGTTTTAGCTACTGCTAACTATCAAATGAAACGTTTACTTTCAGATAGTTTCAAAAACTTACTGGTGATAAAGGATCCATAAAGAGCGCTTTTAAAACTCCATCCGCCCAGATCGTAAAGTACAAAAGTGCTAAATGCTCGTAAGCATCGTGCGCCTGTGAAGACGTAAGCGATCTGCCGAAAAGTCACTTATAAATTCTGGCACTTTGATTTTGGGTAGATGCTAAACGAAGCTCTTACCTTTACCATTACTCCAAGCCAAGCGGCTTGTCGAATTACTTGAGAAGTTGCATCTTTTGCTTTCCATGGCATAAAAATTATAGTGATTGAATCGTGCTCTGCTTGTATAGCACAGTTTTCCCCCTAAACAGAAACACAGGAGTAATGAGTGCACGAATGTTGCACGAGCTACACTAATAGGATTCTATTTGAGTCTTTTTTTCAAAACTTGGCCCACTTCTGCTTTGCCCTTCTTCTTGTTTACACCATCTTCGCAAATTCTGAGTTCTGCCTCAACTGCAGCGTCGTCGGCAGCAACTCCATGGTAAGCAGCAAGAGCTTTGCGAGCCTGAAAAGTAGGAAGTACCAAAGTAAGGAAAGTAAGCTACATTTGCGCACCTTGTCCCTGTTCCCTTCCTTCTCCATGATATATTGAGGAGATTCATACACAAATGCGAACAATCCCACAGAAAGTAGCACGAAAACGATATTTGGCAAGAAAACGAAAGGCCAGAGCTCTTCACTCGAAAACGGAACCCCGAGACCTTGGGTTACAAGAGCACCTAAATGAAATATCATTTGGGAAGATGGTACAATATTGCTCATCCACAATCTGGCGCAATGTCGCCCCGGATGTGCCGGATCGCTATAACTCGGCTTCAATTTCCCCAGTTAGATCGTAAATCTTAGATTTTTGATCCGCGTCTTTCCGTCTACCTAGGTGTGTTGCTATAATATAAGTTTACTCAATTTTGAGGTCCATGTAATGTTATGCTGGTACCACCTCTGCTGCTTACTGCTGAGGAGCTCGAACGAGTCTCACCTGATTATATCCTTAAGTACTACTGTCTCTCAATAACGCTTTTAGGATTCGAAATAATTTCCAAGGCAACATTATTAGGATTGGATTCTGACTAATGCATTTTAAGTCCAGAAGTTGTGCTAATTTTTGTCATAAATTAAAGCCAAATTTCAAAATTAAATTTGCATTCTAGATTTAGATAGATGTTTGAGTTTAATTCTACAAATTTAGAGTAGTACTATGTTCAAACATCAAAATTTTTTAGTGAAATTAATCGAAAACCTCCATTTTTTTCATTTGACGCTAAGTTTTCAACTGCTAAATCCAGGTAGTTACCAGAGAATATGTTAGACCGGCAGTGATGGGCAATATTATGACAAACAACTATTCATTTGGACAAGATTCCTTACTTCTTTTATGAAGCGCAAAATTCATAATAGATTCTTGTGAACGATTTATAAGGATGTTGTAATGCGTTCCTGATCCTCAGAAGTCATTTAGTTGTGCTTGCCATTTATATTGCTCTCAACGAAAAGAGCTTACAACTTTTAGCTGTCTGATTGACGGATACAATAGTGCTCATAATTCTGCAAAAAAAAAACCGTAATTTCACATAAAAATCCGTCGCAAGCGTCGCATCGTCATAACTTCTTTCATAGATATTTTTCAAAAGGAAAAACGGTGTTATACTTAGCTCGTCAAGGCAAACTTAAAGTATGACACATTATGATAATGTAGTTGCAGTAGGAAGTCTACATCAGACAGTCCGCTTGAAACTTTGAGTAGGAGGTTGACTTCCTACCATATCTGCCGTACACCGATGTCTGTAGTGTGGCATACCTTGAAATTCGTCCAGACGAGCTGAGTCTATTTTTCTTCTGAAAAATTCCTAATAAAAGAAGTTATAACGATGCGACCCTTCGCAGGGGATTTTTATGCGAAAACACGTTTTTTTACAGAAGTCATGAGCGGTGTAGTTCTGTTTCAGTTTTGTAAAAGTTAAGAAAATAAGTCCCTAAACCTTTCGAATGTTATCATAGAGTGCCACATAATGGAATACTATAATAATTTGACGAACCTGCTGCCATAAAGAACTCCTGCATAGCAGCCATTCTCCCCCGGATTGCCGGCGGAGCACATTCTACAATCCATACAGTCGCATTTACACTGTTTATGCCATTGGCGAGAGACCTTAATCACCTCGTTTGTCACCACAAAAAAAA